TAAAATGCTTTGTCATACTTATACCCTGCCTTAGAATGTTTACCAAGTCCTATCTGCTAAGTACCTAGTTTTGAGAAATTTGACGTCAAAAATGTTGAGTTTCGCACCATGCCAAACATTTTCGAATGCAGTTCTTTGAATATCGTGATAACGACTCCGAATAATCTTACAGTTTTGCTAAAGCGGATAAAAAATTTGGTTTCTGACCTCATGGTCTTAGTAACTTGAAACGGACAAACATTTCAGATATAGCTTTGTAAGTCTAAGGTAGCAATTATAACATGGGTGTAACATTTGAGCCTTTTATTATTATTATCACTATATCATTTTTATAACGTCTACTATTATCATTATCATTGTCATTAGATTATTGTTAATATCACCATCATCGTCTGGTTTATTCTACTTTTTCTTATCATTTACATTTTTGTCACTGTTCTCACCATTATTAGCACGGAGAACAGAACAGACCTTCCTCGAACTCGTTGTCAACTTCAACTATTTCGACAATCACCTCGTTCAATCTCCACGAGAGAGGCACACTGTTAAACCAGCATCTAACGGGATCTTGACACGCAAGACGTGAAGAAACGATGCTCACACACAACGATTTACCGACATCTCACACTCATCTAAACAGTCGAAATGATGCTCCAACACAAAAGCTGAAGTGTCTTTAGGCCATTCCCAAAGGGGGGACATTTCTCGTTCTAGAGCACAGTAGAATCGTAAATAGGCTGATCTAACAAGATCATGCTCATAACTGTCCCTGAACTGCAACAGGGAACTGTTGCTTTTTCTTTCCTAATCCTTACTATCGTCATTTTCCTCAACTTCTTTTTTATGTTTGTCACACTCTTGAGACCCGCTATTTCCGGAGTGCCTTGATAGTCGACACAGACTGTGTGTTGTTGAAGCTATAGAGGTGAGCGGAGTAAGTCTGATTCCCTGTAAGGACTTCTCTGTTGACATTCACCCCTTGGCGCTCATATGGCCTTATGCAGTTGCCAGGCCGTAAAACCTCTACTAAAACTTTAACAACAAAAAAGATTTAACAACTTCTCTGACTCACTTAAACAGTCGAAATGATGCTCCAACACAAAGATTTACCTACTTCTCTGACTCATCTGACAGCAGCAGAATACCACACAATCATTGGGAAGCGGGAAATGGGGATTGCGAGGGAAGAAGGAAGAAAGGAACGATTATCTGGAAAGGAAAGACGTCGCAATAATCAGACAGCCACCGGAACAATCAGTATGGATACCTTGCAGGCTTTGGTGCTGGGGGGAACTGAGCACTTATGGACCTGTAAGGAGTGCAACGACGTTGTTGTCCAGGACAGGTAATACAGGTAATGCAGTCTGACTCATCTCAAGAGTTGAAATGAGGCTCCAACACAAAGATTTATTCTCTCCTCTGACCCACCTCAACAGTCGCTCCTCTTCCTCTCTGTGTCTCTCCTCTAGAAGAAGCTGCGCGTCAAACACGTTGGCATTCTCAAAGTCCTGGGAGAAAGAATGGGTATGGTCAAAGTGGGATTTTGATAGTAACTATGTATGCGAATGTTTTACTCAGCAATCATCATCATCATCATCATCACCATCACCATCACCATCACCATCATCATCATCATCATCATCATCATCATCATCACCATCATCATCATCATCGTCATCATTGTATAAAGCAGATATTAAATCATCAACATTATCATCATCGTCAACAACAGCAGCAGCAGCAATAGACATCAGCGATTATAGCGGTTTAAAAAAAATAATTTCTTTGCGCGGATGCTTTAAAAAAAACGTATATCATCATGGTCTACCCCTGCCTCGTTTGCCTTCTACTTTGTCAGTGGTAGCAAGATGCCCATGGCCTATACATATGAATATATTATGTCCATTCAATTGTCCCGGAAACTGCACGTCTCATTTGTAAATTGTTCGCATTATATCTACTGAGCCTCCCACGAACAAAATCAAGGATGTTTGTAGCGGGCAGCAGCTAACAGTATCTATAAAGCTGATATAATTCTCTATTATAGGTGGCCTAGTGGTTAGGCTCTCGGACTCGCAAATGTAAGGCCGCCGTGGGTTCGAATCCCGTCAGGGGCCCGACGTTGTGTCTTTGGGAAAGGCACTTTACACGAATTTTCCTCACTTCACCCAGGTGGGAATGGGTACCCGGTTATAGACAGCGAAAGATCTTGTCAGTTTGTTAGTGTTTGAGCGCTTAATCAGCTGCTTGCACTGTATGCTTCACGGGAAGCTGAGAATGTTTCGGAGTGTTCTATGACTACCACATGGTTCTATGTTCTGCTGGGGTAATAATATAGTGTAAAGCGCATAGAGCCTGCTGTTGAGCGGGTATATGCGCTATACAAATATTTTTTATTATTATTGTTATTATTATTATTATTATTATTATTATTATTATTATTATTATTATTATTATTTTAAAATGCTTTGTCATACTTATACCCTGCCTTAGAATGTTTACCAAGTCCTATCTGCTAAGTACCTAGTTTTGAGAAATTTGACGTCAAAAATGTTGAGTTTCGCACCATGCCAAACATTTTCGAATGCAGTTCTTTGAATATCGTGATAACGACTCCGAATAATCTTACAGTTTTGCTAAAGCGGATAAAAAATTTGGTTTCTGACCTCATGGTCTTAGTAACTTGAAACGGACAAACATTTCAGATATAGCTTTGTAAGTCTAAGGTAGCAATTATAACATGGGTGTAACATTTGAGCCTTAACCTCTTATCTCACCTCATAGCTCTTTATTCACGTCTAACTTGCTTTGTCATTATAAAGAATATATACAGGGTGATCCAAAAAAACCCACAACTGTACAACTTTTTTCTGAACATCTCGCATACAAATTGTTCAAGAATGCTGTATTTTGAAACAGACATATTTCATTCAAAAGGAATTTGTTTGACATAAAATTCACAAAGAAGAAACATACTTTGAAAACGGAAATTGCTTTAAAGAAAAAAGCACCCAATAACGCAAAGTTCGCCAATTTGTGAAAATCTTTTAAAGGAAGTCGTGAAAAGATTGGTTCACTTTTTTCTTTATTTTTTCTTTGACTTTTAACTTTCCATCCCCGCAACATTTTAACTATATCTAATTTCTTTTACAGATTAAAAGCTAACAATTTAATTCGGGAATTCCTAGAAGCAGTGCTCTACCTACCCTTCTTTGGACTCGCCACATTTTTAATGTGTCGTTCGAAATGTTCAACGGCGCCCAAACACAAGGACCTGCTGAACCATGAGTGTTTAAAGCCACACACACTGTACATAATCTGTATGAAGTGGCTTCTACAGAGAATAGGGAGTGGGGTGCCCTACAGACAGCATTTTTGGGGTTAACATATCCCGCAGGGTGAAAATGGCCTTTGCAGTAATTTCATCGAGGAAGTGATCCCGCTTTTCAAGACAATTGAGAAATCATGAACACATTGCCATTCTCTGATCCATTTCATCTCGGTCTAGCGAAGATGAAACTGGTACAGTCGAAGGTTAAGATCTGCCATGAGAATGCAGACTGTTGAGGTGTAGAAAAGTCCTAGCTACAGATCGTCTACGTACAGACGTCTCATGGGACTCGACTACTGACATCTTCACCCATGTGACGTTTAAAGGGCTAAGCATGGTGCGTGTTCGACCTGAAGTAGTCATTTTGTAGGAACTTTTCGGTTCTAATTCGCTATAGATCCAAACTAACGGAACTTCTCTACTCATGACACTAAAAGTCTTGACGGCACCTAAGCATTCTTTCAATACTGTGCACAGAACTTACGAAATGTTAGGGATGGTGAGTTTGTGGAGAGGTAATGTTCAATACAATAAGCTCTCCGTTTCTTACAAAACTTCTCAGCCACGATCTCAGCAGGCAAATGAAATTTGGGGAAAATGATATCTGCAGACGTCTGTTGACTTGTTAGACTGCTGTAGCTTTCAATATGGCACGATCGTTGCAACATTTAGTTGAGGGCTAATGCGACCTGGTGCGTCATGCTATGAAAATAGGGACAAGGTCGAACATGGGTAGTTTTTTTAATGCGTCATATAGAGCAAAACCATTCAACGGACTTATCTAAAATGAATATCAGACAAATTCCTTTTGACTTCCGAATATTCGGTTCAAATCTAAAACGAAAAACTTCAGTATGGAGGAAGATATTTACAAAACAAGTTGTACAGGTGTTTGGTTTTTTAAATCACCTTGTACGTGTATGTAGACAACATCTGGGGCTGCTCCGCTCACAGATATTTATTCACGTCTTATTTGCTTTGTCA